TATTACCTGTTAGCCATTTGTATGTCTTCTTTTGAGAAAGGTCTATTCATATCCTTTGCTCATTTTTAATTGAGTTTTATTTTACTATCGAGTTCATTGAGTTCCTTATACATTTTGATATTAACCCCTTATCAGATATATGATTTGTAAATATTTTTCCCATTCCATAGGTTGTCTCTTTATTTTTTTTATTGTTTTCTTTGCTGTAAAGAAATTTTTTTAGCTTGGTATAGTCCCATTTGTCTATTTTTGCTTTTGTTGCCTGTGCTTTTGGGGCATAACTGCTTTATCTTGTCTCTCTCTGCAATGAATTTGAATTTCCTGACAACATGGATTTATATGTTAGACACAACCCTGTTGACCCAGTTCCTTGTCTAGTGTCTGGCATGACAGAGATGTTTGTCTTATGAATGGCCATGCCTGTTCTGCCATTTTCTGTCCCCTAGCTGCCACCTTCATGCCCTGTCTTGCTGAATGTTAACTCCAGCCATGCAGGCAGCCAAGCCAAGTATGTGGCAGTCATCTTTACCACTTTCTTTTTTTTATTTAATTCTCACACTGTACATTAAATGAGCTATTAAGTCCTGTAGATTCTACTGGCTAAAATTTCCTCAATCACATTTCTTCTGCATGTCCACAGCTCCATCTGGTCTCCTTTGGATTATTGTAACAATTTCAAGTACAATTTTTCACAGTGCTGCCAGGGAGGTCTTAGGGTTCTTGTTGTGACCTGAGAGACCAAAATAGATGCTCCTTTATCAACTACTACAGATACTTAGGTTAAGGAAACAAAAGTTACCTACTGGCTGAGGGTTTAGGGCTCCACTGGCATGGCAACTCCCTAAATACCTGGAGCAATAAGAGAAAACACACCCTTGCTAAACTCCCTAACAATAGGAGCTATCAGACAAATTGTCAGACCCTTCTTAATTCTGATTTACAACTCAGACCACTACAACTCTGTTTAGACAGAGGACAGGCCTTGCAAATATTCTTTCCTGATAAGCAACTTCAGACCTTAAGCCATCTACCTTTTTACAAAAATAGCGAAATTCTGCCTCATTTTAATGCTAAAATTCCACCCCAAAATGAATAGGGGCTGCATATTTTGTATTTTTACCCACTGCACATGCGCTCAACTCTCCTCTTATGTAGAGCTTTCCCACCAAACCTGCTGAATATGTATGACTCTATTATATGACATAGAACCTGAGAGGCATAAAAGCCAATCTGCCCTTTCCTTCTTCAAAGACAGAGCGCTTTGGTCCAAGCTGGAAACTATCTCTAACTGCTCTGTAAACTGATATACCAACAAAGCCCTCGTTTCTACTATTTAGCTATCCTGGTGATCTTTTGGATGACATTGTAAAGATAATTAGATAATATATGCTAAATACTTACAGCAGTGTCTTGCATATACTGAGCACTATTTAAATGTTGATTATCACCATCATCCTTATCTTTTTAAATAAAAATATCATAGATGATGTCCCAAATTATAACTCTTTCAATACCTCCTAATGGATTTGAAGGTAAATTTTAATTCTTTAAGATAAAATTCCTACCAAAGTGCTTGCTGTTCCAAATGATGACACATTTTTTCATGCCCCTTACTTTTGATGTGTTTTTCTGATATTTGTTCTTTTTTATTATTTGTCTTCCCTCTACTCAGATTTCAAGACTTCACTGAAGCACAACCTTCTCTAGAAAGTTATTGACCTCTAATAATCTAATTTATTTTTATTTTCCATATGCTTTCATAGTGACATATGCATATCTCTTTCATAATCCCCCATCATGGCATACTGCGTGGAACTGTCACTTATTTGAGTTCAGATCTTGTGACTATAACACAGATCACGAAATAAACTAGGAACTAAGTATACATTTTGGAATAAATAAATACATCAATGGTTTCTCTGGGCTCTGCAACTGAGTACTCCCACACTCTGTTGCATTCTCCCAGATTTGCTGCCTGCAGCTATCATTGCTGGATCTACAGGAGCCTGTCAGTCCATTGATCTGCCATTTTTCAAAATCCATCTCTCCCCTTGAAATAGAGGCTAGAGTTCATGAGTG